CGGGAACGTGTCTCGGGGACAGGTCTCGGGGAAATGTCTCGGAGACGTGCCTCGGGAACAGGTCTTGGGGACGTGTCTCGGGGACGTGTCTCGGGGACGTGTCTCGGGAACATGTCTCCCGTAGCAGCGCTGTGTACAGTAGACGACGGCATTCTCTGAAGTCCACACTGAGCTAAGTTTAACTTCGTGTGACGCAAACACGTTCACTCCCTTTCAAAGCAAAGTGAAGTACATTTTCCCTCCATCACGACTTCAGATGAAGGATGTTGTAAATGTTTCCCTCGGGCGCGGGGCTAATCTAAAGTCTGCAAGTTTCAGGCATTAGAGCCGCGAAAGCACTTATCTGCTCTCACCAGTGTTTTACGGAGAAGGAAATGATCGATGTGTTAGATAAACACCTGGAATATAGTTCATCTGAATTATAAATGTAAACCAGATCTGAGCATGGGCTCCTGATCACTGCTTCTCCTGCTTTTTTAAGAACTGCACTGCTACTTCTTTCATGTGGCAAATGCTGATGACTATCACTCAAGAGTCACAGTCCCAGCAGCTGGGCCGACAACAGCTGATCTCAGACATGCAGCAAAGAGGATCTGCTTTTCAATCCTCTGCACAACCACCATTTCTCAATAACTCCTGAACCAGAACAGGAGACTGTGGATGAATGAGGGACACAGAGTATGAGAAAATGACTGAATGAGTCATAACAGTACTTGACATAATAATACATTGAAAAGAGTAACTTATAGAATGTCATACATGATCCATGATGTAAAGTCCTTTGATAGGATCTTCCTCTTGAGTATACGGACCTCCAGTAGTTCAATAGTTTCAAATAAAGGTTCAAAAAAATGTTTAATAGAAGAATCTATTCTAGCCCATTCATTGGATGACTTCCATTTTCCAAAAGAGAGTTGCCTTCAGACACAAACTGCAGACATGTTCCGGTTATTGCACTGAAGAGCTTTTCAGTGCTGTGTCCGGAGCAGATAAGTGTCCCCCATTATTCAACCCATGTTCACCATTAACAGGATTAATTTGGCTTGGGCCGAGGGGTGAAACAGTATTTATCCAGGGAAGGGTACTGGCGAGAAACTGAGTGACCAGCTTGGTTTGAAATTCTAATTAGCCTGTGGGTTCGTTAGCACGCACACTCAACTCTAAAGTGAAGCCTGGAGGATTCTGAGGTCTGTATAAACCATTACAGTATAAGAAAATACAAGCTTACAGCAGAGAGGAATAGCGGGTCCAGGGAGAGAGATTTCTTGGGTATATTTGACAAGGAGAAGGAGCAGAGTAAAGCAGTGACCTTGTAGGAAGTCATCTCTAGGGGGAGGCTGCTGTCAGAGCGTCAGACAATCCATCTGCACCGACACGACAGCTCCTTCTGCAGCTCGCAGCTCTGCAGACATGTGCACCGACACGACAGCTCCTTCTGCAGCTCAGAGCTCTGCAGACATGTGCACCGACACGACAGCTCCTTCTGCAGCTCAGAGCTCTGCAGACATGTGCACCGACACGACAGCTCCTTCTGCAGCTCAGAGCTCTGCAGACATGTGCACTGACACGACAGCTCCTTCTGCAGCTCAGAGCTCTGCAGACATGTGCACCAACACGACAGCTCCTTCTGCAGCTCAGAGCTCTGCAGACATGTGCACTGACACGACAGCTCCTTCTGCAGCTCAGAGCTCTGCAGACATGTGCACCAACACGACAGCTCCTTCTGCAGCTCAGAGCTCTGCAGACATGTGCACTGACACGACAGCTCCTTCTGCAGCTCAGAGCTCTGCAGACATGTGCACCAACACGACAGCTCCTTCTGCAGCTCAGAGCTCTGCAGACATGTGCACCAACACGACAGCTCCTTCTGCAGCTCAGAGCTCTGCAGACATGTGCACCAACACGACAGCTCCTTCTGCAGCTCAGAGCTCTGCAGACATGTGCACCAACACGACAGCTCCTTCTGCAGCTCAGAGCTCTGCAGACATGTGCACCAACACGACAGCTCCTTCTGCAGCTCAGAGCTCTGCAGACATGTGCACAGACACGACAGCTCCTTCTGCAGCTCAGAGCTCTGCAGACATGTGCACAGACACGACAGCTCCTTCTGCAGCTCAGAGCTCTGCAGACATGTGCACAGACACTCAGAACTAGGTCGCTTCTCCAGGAGTGGAAGGACCAAAGTCTTTTCTGCTGCTTGTCTCCACTAAGCACCTGGTCAGGATTCAACTCAAGAAACACATTTATGAAACTTAAAGGTTTATGAGGATTTTCCCACATTTTAGGGAAGAACCGCCCTCTCCACTTTTTGAACTAAACTCTCTGGTCTTGTTGGAGGAGCACATACCACCAGAATGAAGACCAATAGTCTTGAGGATCCACCCGGGAGTAGAAAATCCCCCTGTATACTTTTAACACAATAACAACAATAGGGATAGTGACCGATGCTTGGGCTGAACATCAGTATCAGTCGATGTTTGCTTTATTCAGAGACATTTCAAGAGCCGTCAGAAAATCATTAAAGGAATCTGATGTTTGAGACGAAGAAGGCGGAGACAGCGACTGCATGAATCTGAAGGAAAACAGAAAACTGAAGCGGCCAAGACATAAATAGATAAATAACAAAAAGAAAAAAAGAATCGTTAAACATTGGTAATGGCTCAAAATCGGTTCATCCCTAAACAACAATTTGGTTCATTTTAAGTCAACTTATCTTTTCATAAATCAGGTGGAAAGTCAAATGCGTGAAGTTTTTTGTACATACTTCATAATCAGTTGTATGGATTTACTTTTATTAAACATAGAGGGGCAACAGTAGCTCACTTGGTAGAGGGTCATGGGTTCGCTCCCACCACGAGACCTTCTCCCAATGATGTCTGCTGCCAGTGTGTCAATAGGCAAGACACATAACCCCACTTTGCCCGAAGCCCCCACAGAAATGGACTAAGAAAGGGTAAGAAAATGAATGAATGAACATAGCACATTGGTTGCTTTTTATTGCTGTTGTAGCAGTAGTTTGAGCATCAGCGGTGTAAACACAGAGGCAGTTTTATATTTTTAAAGCAGTTATTTCATAGCAGGCCTTGTTTTAAAGTTTGTATATAAAAATCTCAAATAATATGATGTATTTCTAATCCGGGACACTCATCCCCGTGCATGCCGGCCTGTGCCCACAATCTCATGCAGACTGACCAGATGTTCACCTCATCAATAATAAATATTAGCACGGTCATTAGGGACACCACGATTGCAGGGTAGAAGCCGCACTGGTGTTACTCGATATCCTTATATATCCTGAGCCAAGCCAATGTTTCACAAAAGCCCACAGCGTCAGCGCAAAGGAAACAAAACAAAAGACATAACACATGTTTTATACGTCGGCGGCTCTCAGAAGAAGTGGCTGGTTTTAATGCCAAGTTGGTGGTTTGGATCTGGTGTTCTTCAGCCTCTCTAAAAGAAAGTAATGAATAATAACTGGGACAGGACCTACACATTTCACTGTCAGTTTCTCTCTTCAGTGAGAATTCCCACAATCAAAGCAGTTTAATAAAGCAATGACCTGCAGTAAACATGAAAGGCTGAGTCATCATAATGAACTTGTCTTCCTTTGTATTACTGTCACACAAGTAGCAACAAGGCGGTGCCTATAGCACTGCTTTCATTAATATCACTTGAAATATTTTGACAACAAAAACCAGGTTCATGATATCAGATTTAGGTAAGAAGTGCAAACATTAAAGAACCTTTTTCCCACAATAAACACAGTACAGCAGCCACACAGGGCAGTAGAAAGAGCACACAAGGACTACAGAAGTTGTAAATACATCATAAGAGCAGGTTTAAATATAAAAGCATGCAGACAGTCACACAGATCTATCTCAGCCAGACTCATGTTGAATGTAATGTTTTGCCTTTTATAATCGGCACTAGTCTATCACAGGTCAGGCTTGAATGAAATGAACCATATCAGTGAAAGATCATCCAATGGTCAAACAGATTGGGTAAAGTCAGATCCGTTCCACACTTACTGCTGCGTGCTCTGTATAAAACACGGCCCATTAGAAAGACGTGAGGAGCAGCCTGTGCAGAGCTACGGCTGCTTTAGGCCCTGTTTATTTGAACTGTGCACCTCCGTGTGAGCCAAGTCCTGTGTGTTTGTGTGAAATCCTGGAGAGGCCCGGGCCCCGGGGGGAGGGGAGACACGCACACACAAGACACACACAAAACACACACAAGACACACACAAAACACACACAAAACACACTGTCTATCTGTGCATATATCCTGCAGTGCTGGGTCCTCAGAGCAGACAGGCCTGATGCAAACATTAGGCCTGTTGCATGATATCCTCCTGTGTGTAGGACTGTGTGTGTAGGACTGTGTGTAGGACTGTGTGTGTAGGACTGCTGTGTGTAGGACTGTGTGTAGGACTGTGTGTGTAGGACTGTGTGTAGGACTGTGTGTGTAGGACTGCTGTGTGTAGGACTGCTGTGTGTAGGACTGTGACTGTAAAGCCTAGCGTACATCGACAGAGAAACTGGGGACAACTAGTTGCAAGGCGGCTTTTGGCAACTGAGAGGAGATGATGGAGATGATCAGTTGCCGAAATCGGTCGATGTGAGCGCTCTTACAACTGGAGATGATCAGTCGGTCTCCAGTTTCAGTCAGTTGCCCGTGTTCTACTTTTCGGCAACTAGTTGTCCTCAGTTGCCCCGATGTGCGCGCTCCATGCGCCGCTCCGACAACGTGTGTGTATTGCGTGTATTGCGAGCCTGCAACAGTTTATGTCAGAAAACACACTGTGGTTGAGGCCAGTTGCTGTCGATGTACGCGCTGTTATTCAAGAGACTGGCCTGCGACTCAGAGTTGCCCGTTTTCTGTGTGTGTAGGACTGTGTGTGTAGGACTGTGTGTGTAGGACTGTGTGTGTGGGACTGTGTGTGTAGGACTGTGTGTGTAGGACTGTGTGTGTAGGACTGCTGTGTGTGGGACTGTGTGTGTAGGACTGCTGTGTGTGGGACTGTGTGTGTAGGACTGTGTGTGTAGGACTGTGTGTGTAGGACTGCTGTGTGTAGGACTGTGTGTGTAGGACTGTGTGTGTAGGACTGTGTGTGTAGGACTGTGTGGTGTGGGACTGTGTGTGTAGGACTGTGTGTGTAGGACTGTGTGTGTAGGACTGCTGTGTGTAGGACTGTGTGTGTAGGACTGTGTGTAGGACTGTGTGTGTAGGACTGTGTGTGTAGGACTGTGTGTGTGGGACTGCTGTGTGTGGGACTGTGTGTGTAGGACTGCTGTGTGTGGGACTGTGTGTGTAGGACTGTGTGTGTAGGACTGCTGTGTGTAGGACTGTGTGTAGGACTGTGTGTGTAGGACTGTGTGTGTAGGACTGTGTGTAGGACTGTGTGTGTAGGACTGTGTGTGTGTGGGACTGTGTGTGTAGGACTGTGTGTGTAGGACTGTGTGTGTAGGACTGCTGTGTGTAGGACTGTGTGTGTAGGACTGTGTGTGTAGAACTGTGTGTGTAGGACTGTGTGTAGGACTGTGTGTGTAGGACTGCTGTGTGTGGGACTGCTGTGTGTGGGACTGTGTGTGTAGGACTGCTGTGTGTGGGACTGTGTGTGTAGGACTGTGTGTGTAGGACTGCTGTGTGTAGGACTGTGTGTAGGACTGTGTGTGTAGGACTGTGTGTGTAGGACTGTGTGTAGGACTGTGTGTGTAGGACTGTGTGTGTGTGGGACTGTGTGTGTAGGACTGTGTGTGTAGGACTGTGTGTGTAGGACTGCTGTGTGTAGGACTGTGTGTGTAGGACTGTGTGTGTAGGACTGTGTGTGTAGGACTGTGTGTAGGACTGTGTGTGTAGGACTGCTGTGTGTAGAACTGTGTGTGTAGGACTGTGTGTAGGACTGTGTGTGTAGGACTGTGTGTGTAGGACTGTGTGTGTAGGACCTGTGTGTGTAGGACTGTGTGTAGGACTGTGTGTGTAGGACTGTGTGTGTAGGACTGTGTGTGTAGGACTGTGTGTAGGACTGTGTGTGTAGGACTGTGTGTGTAGGACTGTGTGTGTAGGACTGCTGTGTGTAGGACTGTGTGTAGGACTGTGTGTGTAGGACTGTGTGTGTAGGACTGTGTGTAGGACTGTGTGTGTAGGACTGTGTGTGTGTGGGACTGTGTGTGTAGGACTGTGTGTGTAGGACTGTGTGTGTAGGACTGCTGTGTGTAGGACTGTGTGTGTAGGACTGTGTGTGTAGAACTGTGTGTGTAGGACTGTGTGTAGGACTGTGTGTGTAGGACTGCTGTGTGTGGGACTGCTGTGTGTGGGACTGTGTGTGTAGGACTGCTGTGTGTGGGACTGTGTGTGTAGGACTGTGTGTGTAGGACTGCTGTGTGTAGGACTGTGTGTAGGACTGTGTGTGTAGGACTGTGTGTGTAGGACTGTGTGTAGGACTGTGTGTGTAGGACTGTGTGTGTGTGGGACTGTGTGTGTAGGACTGTGTGTGTAGGACTGTGTGTGTAGGACTGCTGTGTGTAGGACTGTGTGTGTAGGACTGTGTGTGTAGGACTGTGTGTGTAGGACTGTGTGTAGGACTGTGTGTGTAGGACTGCTGTGTGTAGAACTGTGTGTGTAGGACTGTGTGTAGGACTGTGTGTGTAGGACTGTGTGTGTAGGACTGTGTGTAGGACTGTGTGTGTAGGACTGTGTGTGTAGGACTGTGTGTAGGACTGTGTGTGTAGGACTGTGTGTGTAGGACTGTGTGTAGGACTGTGTGTGTAGGACTGTGTGTGTAGGACTGTGTGTGTGGGACTGTGTGTGTAGGACTGTGTGTGTAGGACTGTGTGTGTAGGACTGCTGTGTGTGGGACTGTGTGTGTAGGACTGTGTGTGTAGGACTGTGTGTGTGGGACTGTGTGTGTAGGACTGTGTGTGTAGGACTGTGTGTGTAGGACTGCTGTGTGTAGGACTGTGTGTGTAGGACTGTGTGTAGGACTGTGTGTGTAGGACTGTGTGTGTAGGACTGTGTGTGTGGGACTGCTGTGTGTGGGACTGTGTGTGTAGGACTGCTGTGTGTGGGACTGTGTGTGTAGGACTGTGTGTGTAGGACTGTGTGTGTAGGACTGCTGTGTGTAGGACTGTGTGTGTAGGACTGTGTGTGTAGGACTGTGTGTGTAGGACTGTGTGTAGGACTGTGTGTGTAGGACTGTGTGTGTGTGGGACTGTGTGTGTAGGACTGTGTGTGTAGGACTGTGTCTGTAGGACTGCTGTGTGTAGGACTGTGTGTGTAGGACTGTGTGTGTAGAACTGTGTGTGTAGGACTGTGTGTAGGACTGTGTGTAGGACTGTGTGTGTAGGACTGCTGTGTGTAGAACTGTGTGTGTAGGACTGTGTGTAGGACTGTGTGTGTAGGACTGTGTGTGTAGGACTGTGTGTAGGACTGTGTGTGTAGGACTGTGTGTGTAGAACTGTGTGTGTAGGACTGTGTGTAGGACTGTGTGTGTAGGACTGTGTGTGTAGGACTGTGTGTGTAGGACTGTGTGTAGGACTGTGTGTGTAGGACTGTGTGTGTAGGACTGTGTGTAGGACTGTGTGTGTAGGACTGTGTGTGTAGGACTGTGTGTGCTACTGTTGTGTCGATCAGGGGTCAACATTCATCCAAACTCCTGCCACACCATGATTTACACTGTTTTACTGTTTCTGAGCCTTGAGTGTGGTACAGTGTGAGTTCTGTTTGTGTGTTCGAGTCCCAGTGATCTGAGTATGTTTAATTCATAACATCCATCCAACTTCAGCTCAGCCAATATGTCATACCTCGTTCTAAAGCCCTGTACGTCTGGAACTCAGTCA